CTGATTCTGCACTGCGTCGTGTGAAGAATCAGTGGTTACAATTTACTCAGTAAATATACATCTGTGACATTTAATATTTTGACTTTCATCACTATACCTGTATATCTTTCTTCAGAAAAAAATATTGACAAAATAAAAAAATGGAAATTTCTGAAATTGGATTGATTTGACATGGAATGACCCTGTAGCAGATTTGTTTTACATCTTTATTTTGGGGTTGTGTGTAGATGATCAGTCTATGCCTATTTGTTTGTAATTTTTTTAATCTCTCAGGAGACATTAAAATTAACTTAAAAATGAATTCCACTTAACCATGTCAAAAAAATTGCACAAGCATTTCTGATCACGTCCATTCAGTTGAGTCAGTGAATCGTGTTGCTGAATCACATGGTGATACAGTATGTGTTGTCTGTACGCCGGACTTCAGTAACAAAGGCCATGCAGCCTGAGCTCTAGCACACACGCTTTGACCCGACGTCCACCAATCACAGCAGCTCATGATCAGAGCCTATGCTTTACCGCTCTGCTGATGGCAGTTGTTTTGTTTGGGCACATTCTCTTTTCAACAAAGCTTCAGAAGATAGTCTGCCGTGACAACTGGGCTTCAGCTTTGACAAAGAAATCAAACAATGAGAGCAAAGCTGGGACACCGTGAGGGACGTCAGCCTGACCTCTTATCTGGCCACAGTGCAAACTGTCTTAGAATAACTGTTATTAATACCATTAAGCAAACATTACTACATTTATATAATATTTAAATGCATTTAGTTTTACTTAAAAAAATATAGTTAGCAAGGATGCATTAAATTGATCAAAAGTGACAGTAAAAACATTTATAATGTTACTCAAATGATTTCAAAGAAATGCTGTTTCCACAAAAATATTAAAAAGAAAAACTGTTTTCAACATGTCTAACAATATGAAATGTTGCTTGAGCAGCAAGTCATCATATAAAAATGATTTCTGAATGATCATGTGGCAATGAAGACTGGAGTAATGATGCTGAAACTTCAGCTTTCCATCATTTTAAAATATATTAAAATAGAAAACAGTTCTTTTGAATTGTGTATAAAAGGCATCATAAATGCAGCCTTTTGAAATACATATTCAAGTGTGCATGAACTACTTGAACTATTGAATCTGTTGAGCATCTTATAATATTTGTGATTTGTTAATGAACGTTAAACTGTAAAGTATTATTAGTAGTTCTTAGGCCTGTAACTTGCAGAAATGGCCAAAGGTTCTTGACATGCTAATTGCTTTATAGCAGGCTTTGTGTTATTAAAGGAGTGTGTTTGTTTGTTTAATGCTTTCATTTGGACACGCTGACCCTGCTCTATGTACTGTGTAAGTCTGTACAGTCAGCAGTTTAAATTTAACACTTTTTTACACAAATTACTTGTCCAAGCAGTCAAGGATCATTATCATCAATATCCCAGAAGTAAATTAAATTAAATTAGAAATTAAAATTTGCATGGGCAAGTATGTTAAAATTAAACATACTGGTCTAGGCAAAACTCATATACAGTAGGTGCTCTGGGTGGTTGCCAAAGCCTTGCTATTTGGTTGCTAGTGTGTTTCTGTGTTAGATGGGCCTATCTTTTAGTGTGTGTTTATCAGATTTATTTTGGCCTTTTTAAATCAGATCCCTTAGAATAGTCATATCACACTTCTCCTTAAAGGAATGGTTCACCAAAAAAAATTAAATTTGCTAACAATTTACTCACCCTCAGCAGGCCATCCAAGATGTAGATGAGTGTTTCTTCATCAGAACAGATTTGGAGAAATGTAGCATTACATCACTTGCTCACCAATGGATCCTCTGCAGTGAATGGGTGCCGTCAGAATGAGAGTCCAAACAGCTGATAAAAACATCACAATAATCCATAAGTAATCCACATGACTCCAGTCCATCAATTAATGTCTTGTGAAGCAAAAAGTTGCGTGTTTGTAAGAAACAACTCCATCATTAATGCATTTTAACTTCAAACAGTTGCTTTTGGACAAAATATGAGTCCATAATCCATAATAAGGCTTCCTCCAGTAATAAAGTTCATCCCCTGTTGTCCTCTCACATCAAAATCCACCAACATATTTGTTTAGAAATGTTTCACTTGTAAACAGTGCTTGATCTGTGCTTTTGTCTCTCCTGATTCAGACAAGACAACTTTTCCAGACAATACGATATTATGGATAGAAGATTCATATTTTACACAAATTTTCACTTCACAAGATGTTAACTCATGAACTGGTTCATGTGGATTACTTGTGGATTAATGTGATGTTTTTATCAGCTGTTTGGACTCTCATTCTGACGGCACCCATTCACTGCAGAGGATCCATTGGTGAGCAAGTGATTTAATGCTACATTTCTCTAAATCTGTTCTGTTGAAGAAACAAACTCATCTACATTATGGATGGCCTGAGGGTGTATAAATTTTCAGCAAATTTTCATTTTTGGGTGAATTATTCCTTTATCCTTTAAATAGCTGTATGATTTGAGGAATCATTCATGTATTTTGCATAAACAGTGTTACACACTGATGTTTAATACTAAAACATAGAGGCTTTGAAAAATCTTTTTTCTTATTTTCAACATTGATAATAATGAGAAATGTTTCTTGAGCAGCAAACCAGCATATTAGAATGATTTCCGAAGGATTGTGTGATGCTGATGTAACATCTGCTTCATCATTGAAAGCATTAGATAGTCCTACTAAAACGTTAAAAATCTGCCTAAAAAGTTCCTAAGCTCAACGTATTCACATGTTTGAAAGATAATGTCTGATGAATAGGGTGGCTCTTATTTTTGGACTTTTGAAATCTTCTGCTCTCACCCGCCCAGTCAAGTCCCCTTCATGAGAAATGGAAACAAACCAAATTTTGCAAAGATTGGACTACATTTATGGTGTGCTCAACAAAATTTAAATTCTGTCTTAATGACCATAACAGCATGTAATTAATAATCATACAGGAGCATTAGTAAAGTGTGAATTCGTTTAAAAAAACGAGAACACAGAACAATGTTGTTAGACCAACATGTAGTGCCGTCCCGAGTTCGAGTCCCGGTTCGTAGACCTTTCCCGATCCCATCCCCCCCACTTCGCTTCCTGTCCACTTACTGTCCTATCGAAATAAAGGCATAAAACGCCAAAAATAAAATCTTAAAATAAAAAAATTGAAATTACAATGCTGCTGATGAGAACTGATCTTTGAAAATTTGCGATCAAATCTAGATTGTGATGACAATCCAATGTCCTTCAGCCGCAAAGTTCTTGCAGACGCAGAAGCAGAAAGTTAAAAAGTGAAATTACTGTACTAGTGAAGAAAGTGAGCTTCGAACAAAACTGAGATCTGATCTAGATATTTATGGTGATCCGACAAGTCCTTCGACCACAGTACTCTTGCAGAGACCGGGAAACTGATTTTGGTGCTCTCTGACAATCTGCATAATGAACTGCGTTAGTTCTTCAGTCTCTGACAGGAGTCTGTTGTACTCTTGGATAAGTGCAATGCCTCTTTCCTGCATTTGCATTGTTTGCCCAGGTAACAAGATCTTCATTTAGGAAGTCCTGACAGAGATCAAGAATAACAAAGAACATGCGAGTGTTCTGCCATTGTTGTGACGTTTAGGTGTCCCATACTCAGAATTTGTGCTCTACATTTAACCCATCCAAGTGCACACACACAGCAGTGAGTAGTCACACACACACACACACACACTGTGAACACACACCCGGAACAGTGGGCAGCCATTTGCTCCAGCGCCCGGGGAGCAATTGGGGGTTCGGTGCCTTGCTCAAGGACCTCAGTCGTGGTTCCTGAGGGTGGAAAAGAGGTCACAACTGCCTCTACTTCTAGTGGAGAAACAAAGGGGCAGTTGTGGCCTAATAGAGAGAGTCATCTGATATCAGAAACAGTCAAAAGTTTATCAGTGAACAAAACCATTGCTAATATTATCAATCAGATCCTGAAGTACCTGTTGATAAAAAGATACATTCTTTGAAAATATCCTAAATGACAAATTATCTGGATCATATTTTGCATACATTACGTACTTCTAGTGGAGAAACAAATGAGGGGGTGAGAGATTAACTGTTCCAAAAAAATTTTTTTGGCCTGAGAAAAAAAGTTGAAAAGATCTTTAATCGTTTACAGATGTCAAGACACTCACTGAGCAGGTTCTAGATGGAGCCAGACGTGCTAATTAGCCAAAAGCAAACACAAACTAGGTCATGTCAGTTGAAAAGAAAAGAGGAAGTAAGTTATAACATTTTGATGAAAGATTATGTAGGCATAAAAAATAAATATATATACATATATTTGGAGTAACATGCTCTAACCAATCGTTCACAATACAATCAAGAACATATAGTAGATAACATTGTCAAATTTTTATATTACATTCCTTCTCAGTTTAAGGATGGGAAGGAGTAATAAAGAAAGTGGTGAAAAAAGAGGAAGTTTTTATGCTACAGTAAGAGCGCATGGTTTATCTGTCCATCAGATGCGTGTCAAAGTTGAGTTCGTTACTATAGCAACAGTAGCTCAAACAATCATTGTAAAAAATTTTTAAAAAAAACCTTTGTCGATATAACGAGAAAATTAAGTCGTTATAACGAGAAAACAACTCTCGTTATGTCGATATAACGAGAAAATAAGAAGGAAAAAAATAATAATGCATGGCCGCTTAGAACTTCCGTAAGTTTTCCCTTTTCCTAACTTAAACACAACACCGTTATAGATGCAAAACAGAATTAAATTTATTAACACAATGAAGCAAACAGAACTTCAGGAGGGCTCAAGGCCAACATACTAACTCCAGAAAACAATCTAACAAAAGGAATTCACTGGTGCGCAAGTGATGTAATGCTATATTTCTCCTAATCTGTTCTGATGAAGAAACTAACTCATCTACATCATCTACATTTATTTTGGGGTAAACTGTTCCTTTAAGTGTGTTTGTTATCATTTGATGATTTCATTTGAATGATATGTTTCAAACAGGAGCAATAAAGCAGACATGGCTGGTATTTATTACGAGAAGATTGATGTGGAAGGACATCACTTTGGGCCACGCTCTCCGGAAATACAGCGCGCTATTCGCTCACTGGACCAGGCTTTCCAGATCCTCAACCAGAAAATCAAGGTATTTTTACATGGGTGAAAGAAAGAGAAAAAAAACAATACTCGCTGTCTGTTCCACCTGGCTATCTAAAACACATTTTGTATTTATTTTAGGGCTGTCAAATCGATTAATCGCGATTAATCGCATCCAAAAATAAAAGTTTGTGTTTACATAATATATGTCTATGTAATGTGTATATTTATATGGATATATAAATACACATATACATGTATATATTTAAGAAATGTAATATATATTTATGTATAATATAAATCATATGTTTCTTAAAGGAGTAGTTCACTTCCAGAACAAAGATTTACAGATAATGTACTCACCCCTTTGTCATTTAAGATGTTCATGTCTTTCTGTCTTCAGTCGTAAATAAATTATGTTTTTTGAGGAAAATGTTTCAGGATTTCTCTCCATATAATGGACGTAATGTGTATATTTATATGGATATATAAATACACATATACATGTATATATTTAAGAAATGTAATATATATTTATGTATAATATAAATCATATGTTTCTTAAAGGAGTAGTTCACTTCCAGAACAAAGATTTACAGATAATGTACTCACCCCTTTGTCATTTAAGATGTTCATGTCTTTCTGTCTTCAGTCGTAAATAAATTATGTTTTTTGAGGATAACGTTTCAGGATTTCTCTCCATATAATGGACTTCTATGGTGCCCCCGAGTTTGAACTTCCAAAATGCAGTTTAAATGCAGCTTCAAAGGGCTCTAAACGATCCCAGCCAAGGAAGAAGGGTCTTATCTAGCGAAACGATCAGTTCTTTTCTAATTTCTTGTCTTGTCTAGCTCTGCGTGAACTCTGTGTATTCTGGTTCATGACAGTTAGGGTATGTCGGAAAAACTCCCATCTCATTTTCTCCTCCAACTTCAAAATCATCCTATTTACCATTTTTTGTAAAGGGCGTTTGACCTTCTTTGCATGTTCACTTTGTAAACACTGGGTCGGTACCAGTGGTGTATTAAGTACCTGAAAGCCATACTCAAGTAAAAGTACAGATATCTCACCAGAAAATGACTTTGGTAGAAGTTGAAGTCACCGTTTAGAATATTACTTGAGTAAAAGTCTTAAAGTATGTGATATTTATTGTACTTAAGTACGAAGAGTATTTTTAAAATCTTAAACGTGCTTAAGTATTGAAAGTAAAAGTACAAGTAAATGCAAAATGGAAAAGAAGCAAATACAAATGTGTCTTTCATTCCAACATAAGAAAACATTTCTGGAATCTGCATCTGAAATAGCATTTAGATGTATTTACACAGTTTAATGTATCTCAGAGTGGACATGGATGCATTTAAACTGCAGTTACAGATGCATAAATAATGTTTTGTTTTTAACATAAAACGTTGAATACTGCTATTTGAAATTATTTAAAACATGAAAAAATTGTCGAAATGTGAAATTAAAACCGCCAGTAGGTGACAGCAAGTGACTGTTAATGAGTGAGTCATTGAGATTCAACAGATTCGTTCAAACGACTGATTCATTCAGGAACAAAGCATTTTACTGTGTTAATGAGTGAATCACTGAATCATTTATTCAACCGATTCGTTCAAAAAGCTGATTCATTCAATAAGTAAACACCGTCCTTTGCTCAGAGACGCAAAACAGTGCTGTGATCTTTGTTTGGAACTATTTTCGTTGGCAAAATTAAGCAAAAACAAGCAATATTATGTCTAAAATGTAAGTCACTTATTGCTAACTTTACTGAACTTGTATAAAATGATTATTAAATTAGTTATCATGCTGATATCTTCAGAAAAAAACGTACTCTTTGTGTGATGTAGATTAAGTTAACTATATTAAATTATATAAATATAAAAAGCATACAGAAGTATTTTTGCCATCTATAATTTAGAATGCCTTAAATTTTGAGTTTTAATAGACTAATAAATCACGTGCGTGTGTGATTTGGTGATATACTCGATAATGTCAGATCGCACATCATTACAACAACACTTACCATATTATCACAGAAGATACTGTATATTGCACACGCAGACTCGACTTGAGTGGAAAATGAATCATCCGCGGTTGTGCGCGTACTTGTTTGCACACAAGCAAATGTATTTTTAGGAGTCTAACTTGCAGACGGCAGACCACTGATTCGTCAAACCTGCTTTCCTGCAGTCCGTGTTCTTCTGACTTCTGACTATTTTGTAGTAAGTAACGAATATGCTTCGGGGAAATGTATCGGAGTAAAAGTATACATTTTAATTAGGAAATATAGTGGAGTAAATGTAAAAGTTGGCTTAAATATAAAAACGCAAGTAAAGTACAGATACTCCCAAAAAATACTTAAGTACTGTAAGGAAGTATTATTACTTCGTTACATTACACCACTGGTCGGTACTTCTGCAGCGATGTAGGACTTTTTTGTAGGATTTTTTAGAGCCCTTTGAAGCTGCATTTAAACTGCATTTTGGACAATCAAACTCTGGGGCACCGTAGAAGTCCATTATAAGGAGAGGGATCCTGAAATGTTTTCCTCAAAAAACATAATTTCTTTACGACTGAAGAAAGAAAGACATGAACATCTTGGATGGCAAGGGGGTGAGTACATTATCTGTACATTTTTGCTCTGGAAGTGAACTACTCCTTTAAATATATTCATGTATGTGTGTAATTATATATACATATAAATATACACCGTACACACACACATATCATGTAAACACAAACTTTTATTTTGGATTAGTGTTGTCACAATACCAAAATTTTGACTTTGATACGATACCTGACTAAAATATCTCGATACTACTTAACTGATACCACGACAAAAACATAAAACTGTCCGGGTAGGAAATACGGCTCTTATTTAAACGTCTTTCTTAAAGTACCGGTACTAGTAAAATGAGGAATCATGGCATTTTTAAAAGCAGGGTATCGCGAGTATATCGTGCTACATGAATACGATTAATCGCCATTAATCGATTTGACAGCCCTAATTTATTTATTTGTCAGGAGAAGAATATGAGAGATGAAATAAACGTGGTCCTGTTCTCTGATCATGGCATGACGGACCTCAAGTGGATGGAGAAAGTCATTGAACTGGACAAGTACATTGACTTGTCGCACATCATTAAAATGATGGACAGGGGGCCGGTGGTCAGTCTGTGGCCCAAACAGGACAAGTTTGAAGAGGTGAGCTCAACCTGTCTCTGTTCTCATTCCATTTCTGCATGTTTTCTATGAGACTTGTGTTTACAGCAAGGCCACAGCTCCAAAAACAACCCTCTCTTATTTTCCATCTGCTATTTTGAGGGGGAAATACGCTTAGCATCAGAGTTCATCGATGTGAAAAAGGCAGCGGTGTACTTTGACCTGCTGTCGGCCCCATTTAGATTTAAACTTTAACTTCAGCGATATTTCAGTATGTAAAGTATGCTTCAACTTTGATGTACTGGCCTGTGTTTTGTGTGTGTATTTTGTATATATAGCATTTTTACATTATGAAATTTTCTTCACAAAACTCAAAATCTCATTACTATACTGTGAAAAGAAAGATAATTTTATTTAAATAGTAAAATATTTATGCATAGTGGTATATGTTGAACTGCATTAAATGTATAAAATAAAATGATAATATAATACAAATATAATAAAACGTAGGTGAAAAGAGGTAGAATAAGTTATTTCATTTTGATGAAATATTATGATAGTTTTTCTTTGAAATAACATGCACTAATAAATTAATTGAATTTATAAAATAATAACGATAGAATTATACAATTAATATAATAATTAATTTTAAATCTGATGAGAATCACAATTGAAAATAATGGGAAATACAAAATTTAGAACAGAAGTTTAATGCCTTGTGCTTAGGTTTTGGGATGAAATGTGAACTTCAGTGGCTCAGACTTAAAATGTGTGTATTTGTTAATTCAGATATATCAAAACCTGAGCACAGTGGACAACATGAATGTTTATAAGAAACAAGAGATCCCAGACCGCTTCCACTACAAGAATGGGAGGTTCGTCTCGACGCTGACGCTCATCGCAGAGCCCGGATGGTTTATCACCGAGGTTATTCTCTACACAATCTGTCCTAAATGTCCTCATGGTTGGTTATGTGGTTGTTTTATGAGTATAACAATCTAATCAAATCTAGATGTCTGTATAGATGCTATAATTTTATTTATTTAAAGCATTAACAATATGCTGAGTCTACCTGCACTATTAAAACTTCACCATCCGTCCCAGCAGGGTGTGGAAATTTCCCCAAATCTACTTGTGATCCATTTAATATGTTGCTTTGTACTTTGTACAGACCGCTGACAGGAATAACTTCAGTCATGATTCAGTCTTGCATATAAAGGCCAAAAACAACAGTCTTGCTCTTGTGTGCTTGCCTGATATAACAGATTGTCTCAGTGATGCGTTATTAGCTGACTGCAAAAACACACTCTGACCTCTGTGCCGAATAAAGGATGAAACACCAAGGCATCAGTCTAATTCCAACATTGCAGGCTAATATATGCTAAGCCCTGCATGTCTGCCTGTCTTTACAGAATAAAGCCAAACTGCCCTTCTGGAATAACAGCACGGAGGAGGCGGGGGGCTGGCAACACGGATGGCATGGTTATGATAATGAGTTTATGGACATGAGGGGATTCTTTTTGGCACAGGGACCTGGTAAAATTCAGCATACCTTTACTCTGTATATTTATGTATATTTGAAGTGATATGGATATTTTAGCTTATTATATTTAAAATATAAGCTTTAATATTTACTTTTACATTTAAATTTAGAGTATCAGGATTCGTTTTAATTTTAAAATAACATAATATATATATATATATGTATGTACTGTATGTGACCCTGGACCACAAAACCAGTCATAAGGGTCAATAGCAATGCATAATACTCTTAGTATTCTTAGTAATAGCAATGTTCTTAGCAATGCATAATACTAATAAAAAATTAAGTTTTGATATATTTACGGTAGGAAATTTACAAAATATCTTCATGGAACATGATCTTTACTTAATATACTAATGATTTTTGGCATAAAAGAAAAATTTATAATTTTGACCCATACAATGTCTTTTTGGCTACTGATACAAATATACCCCAGCGACTTAAGACTGGTTTTGTGGTCCAGGGTCACACACACACACACACACACACACACACACACACACACACATATATATATATATATATGCATCATGTTACTGTAATTCTGAAAAAAAAACATATCTCATTTTCCACAAACATATGAAGCAGCACAACTGTTTTCAACATTGATAATAATAAGAAATGTTTATTGAGCAGCAAATCAGCATCCTAGAATAATTTCTGAAGGATCATGTGACACTTAAGTGTATCAGACACTGGAGTAATGATGCTGAAAATAATAAATTAGAGGAATAAATTAAGATTTTAAATTATACTCAAATAAAAATCAGTTCTAATAATATTTCACAACATTACTGTTTTTACTGTATTTCTGATCAAATAAATGCAGCCTTGGTGAGCATAAACTAACCCCAAACATTTGGAGGACAGTGTGTGAATATATACTGTATATATTAGATTTTTTTTATGTTTTGTTCTCTCCAGACTTCAAGATGAACTTCCGCGCTGGTCCCATCCGAACAGTAGATGTGTATAATGTTTTGTGCAAGACGCTGGGGATCGAACCCCTGCCCAACAACGGCTCGTGGTCTCGTGTGGAGTGTATGATGAGGAGCTCGGCCGGTGCTGTACGAGCCGCTCTGATCTACAGCTGCCTGCCCCCACTGCTGCTGCTGCTGCTGCTGCTGCTGCTGCCGCGCTAGAATACTCCACCACTGCATCTCACATCTCACAAACACTATATCAGACGGAAGACTGCAAGATCGCAAATATGAAACACATATTTTATGCCTTAGTGTGTGCCATGGCGTCAGATAAATGCCAAGAAAAACATTTTTATCAGCTTTTTGCTGCACTGCCTCTACTTTTGAGTTGTAAGTATTATTAAATGCTGATGAAAGTATGTTGGTGTTGGATAAACCAATTTGCACATTTCACTGAAAGATTAATATTTTAGATTTTTATTTTAAGATATGATCTTTTATTATATCATTTTCTCCATGTTCTCCATCTGTTTTCTGTTGTTTTGTGAATGGTCTCTGTACATTACTCAGTTTTGATAACACATAAGAGCATTTTTTTTTCCTGATTACTATAAAATTACTTGACTAGTTGGCTAGTATCACATCTCTGTCAAGATCAAACCAGACGTGTGTGTGTGTGTGTGTGTGTGTGTGCACATATAGTTATTTTCAGTATAGTAACCAGTGATAGGTCTATACACTTAAGCCCGTTTGCTGATATGCACGCTTTATAAATGATTTTAATATTTGCCATTTCAAATAAATCCTTAATGACTCCTGCATGTACAGTTGTCCTCTCTCTGCCTATTACATTTTCTAGACTCATTATTCTCCATTTCCCCAACAAAACAAAAACAAGCAACCAGACTCAAAAAGTATGTTATAACCAGTCCGGGTCATGGATTTTTCAAAAGATTTAAGGCATTCCACTGTTGCGTTAGAGTCCCATTGTGTGTGTGTGTGTGTGTGATGAATGGCCTACTCAGGCTCCATAGTCGCTGAGTCGCTTTTCCTACTACGGCAAAGACTTGCCTTATGAATATTAATCAGATAATGCTGACGGTACGTGAGCGATTATTATTCATGAGGCGAGTCTCATTCGCTCATTCGCTAGCCGACTACCGCATACGCGCCAACGTCTACTTTTCGGCCAATCAATCTGGGCTATTGAGCGAACGTCACGTTGCGTAATTAATATTCATATACAATCCCCTTTCAATAGTAGAACTCGCAAATTCGCCGCTCGAAAGACAGCTGGGGATCTCAGCAGAACCGAGAGCGCGTGTCACCGCGACGGATTGACAATACGTTTCATTTTTTCTTCACATTTTGGATCAGTTGCGGTGGATAATGAACATACCTGGGGAGTGAACACTTAGTATTTACATCTTAGTTTCGCGTCTGAGGCTTAACACTGAAATCATCGCGTGATGCGTCTCCGTTGTTTGTACAGGCGTCAATGGACCTGAACGCGTTTCGAGACGTTTTGATATATTTGGATGAGTTTACGTGGACATTTGGTTTGTTTTCTTTAACTTGACGTGCTTTGAGTGCACTTGATGTTCCTTATGCATTTGCGGAGGATTTGAATTAGCAGCCATTTAAGCTGTCCTAGAGCCAGCCGGGTTATCTGGCTGATCATCATCTCAAGTGCTCTGTTGTCATTGAACTGCTCGGATGCAACAGTTGCATGTGCATTCCTTGTATAAAGTGGCTCAGAAGCCCGGCTATCTGTGTTCCCCCTATGAATTCAACGCACACATTGTGATGAGTGAAATCTGGGCTGTGAGCTTGAGTTGTGCACACGTGAGGAGTCGGACATGTCATTTCCAGCAGCAGCAGCAGCAGCATGCATCCTGATGGCCGAAGCCGCCGCAGCATCAGCAGCAGCAGGTCGGATGTCCTCATGCCCAGCAGCGCCGTCTACCCGTCTCTGGTCCTCGGCATCGCGGCGGCGGTGCTGGTCGTCCAGCTCGGCTCTGGAGGACTCACTCTCACCTCGTTTTTCCTCAAACTCTTTATTTATATGTCCTTCGCGTTGTTCTGTTTCATGCTGGGGTGTCTTGGGCTGCTGGTGAAGAGAAGCCCCCTGAAGATCAGCAGATTTGACACCACTCGGAGACAGTCATCGAAGCTCGTGGATTTATTCAATAAGTTAATGGTAAGGCAACATCTACACAAATACACCCAAACAGTAATTTGCACTGTCACTGTGATTGTTTCAAAGAATATGACTGTCTGATGGCATGCTTCTATAGGAAGCTGCATGGATGGATGGATAGACAGACATCTAGATAGCAATCGATTAATATATCTATAGTATTTTATATTTATATGTACATTTATATTATTTTTATCTTATTACATTTATTTACCTTATGATTTTGAGGTATGTATATATAAAGTGTGAAAAAGTGGTGTGAAAAAGTGTTGGCCCCCTTCCTGATTTCTTATTTTTTTGCATGTTTGTCACACTTTAATGCTTCAGATCATCAAACAAATTTAAATATTAGTAAAAGATAACACAAGTGAACACAACATGCAGTTTTTAAATGAAGGTTTTTATTATTAAGGGAAAACAAAATCCAAAACTACATGGCCCTGTGTGAAAAAGTGTTTGCCCCCTAAACCTAATAACTGGTTGGGCCACCCTTAGCAGCAACAACTGCAATCAAGCGTTTGCGATAACTTGCAATGAGTCTGTTACAGCGCTGTGGAGGAATTTTGGTCCACTCATCTATGCAGAATTGTTGTAATTCAGCCACATTGGAGGGTTTTCGAGCATGAACCGCCTTTTTAAGGTCATGCCACAGCATCTCAATAGGATTCAGGTCAGGACTTTGACTAGGCCACCCCAAAGTCTTCATTTTGTTTTTCTTCAGCCATTCAGAGGTGGACTTGCTGGTGTGTTTTGGATCATCGTCCTGCTGCAGAACCCAAGTTCGCTTCAGCTTGAGATCACGAACAGATGGCCGGACATTCAACTTTAGGATTTTTTGGTAAACAGCAGAATTCATGGTTCCATTTATCACAGCAAGTCTTCCAGGTCCTGAAGCAGCAAAACAGCCCCACACCATCACACTACCACCACCATATTTTACTGTTGGTATGATGTTCTTTTTCTGAAATGCAGTGTTACTTTTACGCCAGACGTAATGGGACACACACCTTCCAAAAAGTTCAACTTATGTCTCGTCAGTCCACAGAGTATTTCCCCAAAAGTCTTGGGGATCATCAAGATGTTTTCTGGCAAAACTGAGACGAGCCTTTATGTCGGCCGGCCACTCCTGGGAAGGTTCTCCACTGTTCCATGTTTTTGCCATTTGTGAATAATGGCTCTCACTGTGGTTCGCTGGAGTCCCAAAGCTTTAGAAATGGCTTTATAACCTTTTCCAGACTGATAGATCTCAATTACTTTCTTTCTCATTTGTTTCTGAATTTCTTTGGATCTCGGCATGATGTCTAGCTTTTGAGGATCTTTTGGTCTACTTCACTTTGTCAGGCAGGTCCTATTTAAGAGATTTCTTGATTGCAAACAGGTGTGGCAATAATCAGGCCTGGGTGTGGCTAGAGAAATTGAACTCAGGTGTGATAAACCACAGTTTTAACAGGGGGGCAAACACTTCTTCACATAGGGCCATGTAGTTTTGGATTTTGTTTTCCCTTAATAATAAAAACCTTCATTTAAAAACGGCATGTTGTGTTTACTTGTGTTATCGTTGACTAATATTTAAATTTGTTTGATGATCTGAAACATTAAAGTGTGACAAACATGCAAAAAAAATAAGAAATCAGGAAGGGGGCCAACACTTTTTCACACCACTGTATATATACATAAGACAAAGCAGAACTGTTCGTCTCCGAGCAACACGCAGCTGCATTTCATTACTTAATCCACGCTTTGAACGAATTGGGTGAACCATTTGGCTCGTTGGACCTAAAGCGGATTCACAGAGCGATCGGTGTATGACATCAAAGGCCTGCGAGAGCGATTCAAAAGCATAAGGAGCCGTCTGCTCTCTATAGCTCTCGCGGTACTTTGATGTCACACACTGATCGATCCGATGGTGATGATCTGCTTCAAGTCGAACAAGCCTAATGATTCAATGACCATTCATAAAGAACCATTTACTTCACTCCTGAATGAATCAGCCATTTGAACGAATCAAATGAATGAATAAATTACTCAATGACTTCATCATTAAATATTTACCACCACCTACTGGCAGTTTTTTTATATTTAGAGTATCATTTCATTAAAGAAATAATTTATTAATTATTATGAAATTAGTAATAATAATAATAAATTATTTAAAATATTGTTCACCCACCCAAAAATGAAAATTTTATTATTATTTACTCACTCTCATGGTCCAAAAGATTATATGTAATACATTTTATGTTGAATCAAACAAAATATTTCTTGCTGAAGCTACTTTTTGTAATGTTTGTTTGGTGC